AGCAAGAAGACCTGATGGCAGGTGGACCAAGGCAGTCATAGAATGGATCCCTCTTGATAAAAAGCATCCATGAAAGAGACCTAAAACAAGATGGATTGACGAAATCAGCAAGTATTGCAGGCCCAATTGCCAAAAGAAAGCTTAGGACTGTATTGGTTGGAAACATGAGGAACAGGCCTTCATCCTGCAGTGGATAGACAATGGCTAAAAATGATTGACAATTGTTACGTCTGGGATATTATGTGGCAAGTACTTGTCTGTTTGAATTCAGAAGTCCCAGAGCAATTTACATACTTCATGTTCTAATACAGTTCTTGCTTGCAGGCAAATGATATTTCTTGCAGAACTTTCACCATTGTTGCTACTTTGCTACTTTTCCATGTCATTATTTGTAATCAATCTGTACAATCTTCTTACAAAAGCTAATCAGGTGGTCCACTGTTTCTTCAACTTCTTTGCAAAGGTGGGACTTACTCTCTGTTGCTGTGCTCTCAATTTTAACTTTATATGTGTGTAATGACCTACCTCAGCTAAGCCTCCCAAGAAAACAGGCATTGTCTCAAAAGGAACTTTTATTAGGGGCTAGTGACAGTAGAGAATCAAGGCGGAATCTGAGAGAAAAATCTGTGAAGCAATATATTAAAAGCAACATTCAATACTCCTCCCCCCAGAATCTCAATGTTCGTTTGCATCCCAGCCAATCCACAGGTGGCATCGTGTTTTAGTAACTGGCCTTTTTGGTGGGCTCTTCAAGGTCTTTCTCACTTTCGATTTCTTCTGGCTCCAAGCACAAACCATCTCTCAGATAAGAGAGAGACATTCCATCCCCTGAGGGAAGGGCATCCTGCAGACAGTGTAAAACAATCCCAAAAGCTCCTCCCTCCCAATGGCAGGCCACACAAAAAGGCTACAGAAAAAGGGAAAATGGCCATAGGGTTAAAATTCATTTCTTTGGGGACCTGACAATGTGTTTGTTCTTAAGGCTTGGTCTTGTGCAGCCACGATCAGCTCTTTGGTCTCTTTTTTAAATTTTCCTGTTATAGCTGTTGCATAATTGGCTGCTATTTATGTGGTCTGCTAATTTTTTTAATATACTGAGCATGTAATACTTTGCCTTGCCATATATCTTTCTTTCACGTTTTTTCTTCTTGTCATTTGGTCTTTCTTGTAGGCCACTTTGGTCTTTCCACAACTCAATAAGCCTTCATGGTATATTAGCTTTAATGCATCTTCTTCACTGTCCTTCAGGTATTTTTTCAATGCCCTTTTTTCTTGTTTAACTGTCATGTACCTGCAACATTCCACACACACCTATTTTTCTTGATAAATAGAATCTGTCCACATTGCTGTGAGGACGAAGGACATAATTCATGGTCATTATTTTTCTGGTTTTCCTTTTTAGGGCTTTTAGTTTTGCTTGAGTCCAGTCCACTATTCCAGCCGTGTATCTGAAGACTGGAATTGGCCAGGTATTAATTGCCTTGATGGTATTTCCTCCACTGAGTTTGGACTTTAAGATCTTCTTCATTCCCTTGATGTATTCACTTCTAACCTTTTTTTTTACTTCAGTGTGCTTGATGTTGTCAGCTTGAAGGATGACCAAGTATTTGTAGTTATTGTTTTCATCCACTCTTTTGATAGCATTTCCATAGGCATCTTGATTTCTTCAGTTTTCACCAGTTTCCCCTATTTGATTCAAGACACAGCACATTTGTCCAGTCCCTACTCCATTGCTATGTCTTGGCTGCATATATAGACAGTGCTGAGCAGGGATTCGATTTTAGATGGTGCTTTTCCATACAGCTTCAGTTCATGTAGAGGAGATGGGATTGCTTGGGAGATGTTGATGTTTGATTCCTTTTGTCTGTTTTAATGATAGCTACATGGTTTGCCATTTGTTTTTTCATCTAGCACATTCAGTCTTGTTCATAAAACTCTCTGTATTTTAGCAGGATAAAAAACTCTAGCGACTGCTTATATGAGCTTCTCTATCCTAAATATTTTATTCATATACATAAATTATTAGAATATATGTAGGAGAAAACAGATAAATTGAAGAAGAGTTTAGAAAGGAATCCATCATTTCAGTATGAGAAATAAAACAAAGTTTTTTTAAAAAAAATATGTAATACATAATTAATGGCATATTCAGGCCCCAAATGAGATAAACACATTGAAGAATGGACTAGATATATACATGGAAGACAAACTCATCAATCACTTTTATACAGGGAGAAAGCAGAACTATTTAACTCATTTTTCGCATCTGTCTTTACACCAGTGGTTCTCAACCTGTGGGTCGGGACCCCATTTGGGGTCGATCGACCATTTCATGGGGGTCGCCAAGCAAGGCTGTCCGCCATTTTTTTTGTCCGCCATTTTTTTGTCTGCCATTTTTTTCCCTCTTTTCCGGCGGGTGCCTTACCTCCCTTGGGCTGGGCCAGCTGGTGGTCGGCCTGCTCCGTCTCTGCCGCTTGCCAGCTACACCTCGGCCGGCGCAGGGGGCGGAACCACACATGTGCAGCGCTCCCGGGCAGGCAAAGTCCTCGACTTACGACCGGTTGGGTAGTCCTCGACTTACGACCGGTTTAGTCCTCAACTTATGACCGGTTTAGTCCTCGACTTACGACCGGTTTAGTCCTCGACTTATGACCGGTTGGGGTCGCGGCATTAAAAAGGTTGAGAACCACTGCTTTACACGAAAGCAACCAACCTATCAAAAATAGTGCCATAAAAAACAGAATAGAAACACAAGTTAAGATAGGCAAGAAAATGGTAAGTGAGCACCTGTCCAGCCTAGACAAGTTCAAATCACCAGATGGATTACATCCCAAGGTTCTCAAGGAACTGGCAGATGTGATCTCAGAACCACTGAACTACATTTTTCAAAGATCCTGGAGCACTGGGGAACTACCAGAGGACTGGAAAAGAGCTGATGTAGTTCCCATCTTCAAAAAAGGGAAAAAATGGATCCAGGAAATTACAGACCTATCAGCCTGACCTCAATACCTGGGAAGATTCTGGAAAAGATAATCAAACAACGAATCAGCAAACACTTACAGGCAAACCAAGTCATTACTAAAAGCCAACACAGGTTTGCCAGACAAACCTCATTGCATTCTTTGACCAAGTGACAAAATTAGTGGACCAGAAGAATGCTGTGGATATAATTTACTTGGACTTCAGTAAGGCATTTGACAAAGTAGATCACAACATACTACTAGATAAGATAGAAAAATGTGGGTTAGACAGCATCACCACCAGATGGATCCGTAGCTGGCTGACCGGATGTACTCAGGGTATGGTCCTCAATGGAACCACATCTACATGGAGGGAAGTGTGTGGTGGGGTGCCCCAGGGCTCTGTTCTGGGCCCAGTGCTCTTCAACATCTTCATCAATGATTTGGACGAAGGGATAGATGGGGAACTCATCAAATTTGCAGACGACACCAAGCTGGCAGGAATAGCCAACACTCCAGAAAACAGGCTTAGGATACAGGAGGATCTGGACAGACTTGAACACTGGGTGCTATCTAACAAAATGAAATTCAATGGTGAAAAAAGTAAGGTTCTACATTTAGGCAAGAAAAACCAAATGTATAGGTATAGTATAGAGGGTACCTTGCTCAATAGTAGTAACTGTGAGAGGGATCTCGGAGTCCTAGTGGACAATCATTTAAATATGAGCCAGCAGTGTGTTGCAGCTGCCAAAAAAGCCAATACAGTGCTAGGCTGCATTAACAGAGGGATAGAATCAAGATCACGCAAAGTATTAATACCACTCTACAATGCCTTGGTAAGGCCACACTTGGAGTACTGCATCCAGTTTTGGTCACCACGATGTAAAAAAGATGTTGAGACTCTAGAAAGAGTACAGAGAAGAGCAACAAAGATGATTAGGGGACTGGAGATTAAAACATATAAGGAATGGTTGATGGAATTGGGTATGTCTAGTTTAATGAAGAGAAGGATGAGGGGGGGACATGATAGCAGTGTTCCAATATCTCAGGGGCTGCCACAGAGAAGAGGGAGTCAACCTATTTTCCAAAGCGCCTGAAGGCAGGACAAGAAGCAACGGATGGAAACTAATCAAGGAGAGAAGCAACCTAGAACTAAGGAGAAACTTCCTGACAGTTAGAACAATTAACCAGTGGAACAACCTATCGCCAGAAGGAGTGAATGCTCCAACACTGGAAGTTTTTAAGAAGAAACTGGACAGCCATTTGTCCGAAATGGTATAGTGTTACCTGCCTGAGCAGGGGGTTGGACTTGATGACCTCCAAGGTCCCTTCCAACTTTATTATTATTATTATTATTATTATTATTATTATTATTATTATTATTATTATTATTATTATTATTATTATTATTATTATTGTTGTATCAATGACTTATAGAACCTCCTTTATAAGAGAGTTATGCTGTGGAATCATGGTTGCTACCTTTATGACTTTACCGTGGAGTTTTTAGACAGAACCAAGCATGCTCTGTGAAAGATCAGATGGCTGTAGAATCTGCCTGATGGGACTCTTTTTTAAAGTAATGCATGGCTGAGATACAAAATCAAACTATATGTATTACAAGAGAATACCAGCCAGTTTGCTTTCAATTACTTCAGCTATAGCCTTTGAAACACCCAGGATGTAAACACATTTGTAAAAGGAGACTGCTAGTCTCAGATTATTTTGTTGTGAATGTTACAGCAGTTGAACTATTCCATCAGTTTACAATATATGTAAATGTTTACACAAGTTCTGAACAATAAAATATTTTCACATAAGTATTCCAGCTTGGAAAGAATGATGCACTGTCAAAGTTCATGAGACCTCTGAGTAGCAATCCTATATTAAAAGATCAAACAAAACCATTGCAGATCATCTGGAACATTGCAGGGAATAGTAGGTTAAACAAATTACTGTTCTATGATAAATATAACAAGGAAGTTATCTTTATATATATTTTAAACTGTGTTTGATGGAAAACATTAAAAATAGATAAGTTTATAAGCCAATGATACTGACCTGTCTGTATGTTCCTTCTAACAAGGTGTCCAGATGTTGAAGTGGAGCTGGAGTTTTATCTTTAAACCTTGTCAGTAAACGCCGTTCAATAGCTCTAAACTGTATGGCTCTTTCAGCTAATAGTTGCTCATACTTCACAGCATTCAAACGAAGCTATAATTAAGAAAAGTTTTCAAAGAAAGAGTTAATGGTATTCTAGAACACAAAATATATGATGCTACATTTGCTGCAAAAGTCCAGTTATTGGTTTTCCATGGTCATTATGAAAGCAAATTTATACACTCATCATTATAAAGTAAATAAATGTCAGTTATTACTGAAACTAAAAATAATTAGTTCAACCCTGAACTACAAATATTCTCCTTCATTGGTACTAAAAATAATTTTTGAACCCAAGGTAATACACAATAATGTTATGGTTTTCATAACTAGCAGACTAAGAGGTACCATTCTAGTTTTCCTTGAATAATCATTACATTTTAAAATATTTAAAGTATTGTACAATATTTTTACAAAGAAGAAAGCTAAATATTAAAACTCGCTACATAAAAGTTTATACTTATTTTTTCAGAAGTAAGCAAGCATATTTGGGACTTATTCCCAAAAAAGTATTTAATAATAAAAAGTTTTCAATAATTAAAGTGCCATTTAGCAATTCAAAAAGTACTTTATAAAGTATTTTGGTATGCATTCTTGCTCTCAAATAAAAAGTCTGAAATCACTCTAATAAAAATTAGAAGTCATAACAACTAAAGAAAACATAAACATTGATAATCATAAGTCACATATATTTATGAGCATACCTCAAAATGGTGATCAATTATGTCAAAATAGTCTTGTAAAGGGATTGGACCAGAAAAAGTACAGACAAAATCTTTGTAATTTTGCCTCCTGAAATGTTGTTCAAGACGAAGAGTGAGTTCTTTTGTAATTAGCCAAATATCTTCTAATTGTTCACTTTGGATTCTGTAACGCTCTTCAAAATAAAAATAAATGCAAAAATTATTTGCTCTTCAGCTCTAAGTGGTATAAATCATCAAAGTAATGTTTTATTGATGCAATAAATACAATAAAACCTCTGAAAGCTGATGACCCAAGGGACTGAAGGAAAGTGGTCAACATATGGAGATGGTCGAAATACAGAACAACTGTACTGATATGTACATGTGACTCATTTTATTGTACAATTTTTATTTTAAAATGTCATAAACACACACAGGAAAATCATTCATGCAGTATGGTATCATATTAAGTCAATACATTTACATATGTATTGTTTTCTCATAGATTTTAGTCTGTTTTTTATTTTTTTTATGAAGTTAAGCAGAGAAAGTACTCCCAACGCTGGCTACTGTATGTCACTCAGCATACCTGGGCATTTTTCCATGGCAAACGATTTTAATTGCATTATTAAATGACTGACATCCTCTTCTTTCAGAATATCTGCAATTTCTGTGTCCTCCTCACTTAATTGTTCATTTAATTTTTCTGCTTCATCAGTTGCTTCCAGCACTTTTCTGCTAGGTTGTATCTCAGTCAATACTAATTAGAAAATTGCTTCTGGGTCACGTTCATTGCAGATTGCCACACTTTTATTTATTTATTTATTTATTTTATTTATTAAATTTATATACCGCCCTATCTCCCTTGCGGGACTCAGGGCGGTCAACAGGCAATACTAAAAACCACGAATAAATAAATAGTTTCTGTTTTAAAATCGAATTGAATAATAGGCCTGTTCTAAAAACACACCCATACAAAACCCCGCACTGAAACACAATCCAAACTACGCCAGGCCGGCCGCACGGAATAGATGGGCCTTCAGGGCTCGGCGAAAAAGGCAACAAAATTTTCAAAATCTACTCTCTCAAATTCCCCCATGGGAGGTAGGCTGTCTAGCTGGGATGCAACATCTTGCTCTTGAGTTGTAACAAATCCAGCTTTCTTGAAGCACTTCTGTATTGTTTCAGGCTCAATTTCATTCCAAGCAGAACTAATCCAGAGAACAGCATCCAGAGCAGTAATTGATGCAATGGATGATTTTACTTCTGCATACGGACCATAAGTTTACGTTTTAGCAATGACCTACTGCAGAAGCTGGGTTCAATAGTGCATTTTGAAAATTTTCATTATGTCTTGGTCGAGTGGTTGAATTTTGCATTTATGTTTGGAGGCAAAAATTTCAGTTTTGTATTTGTAAGATGATTCACTTGGGGAGGACTAGGAGAATTATCCACTACAAGGAGAATGCACCATTTCTTCTTCATTTCTCAGACAATACCTCTTTTCCATTCCTCAAATAGGGCACCAAATCTGTGCAGATTTGTTAGATTTCCAGGTGACAGGAAGTTCTTTGGGCTGCAGGTTCTTGAATAAGCATGGCTTTGCTGATTTTCCAATCACCAAAAGTTTTAGTTTCTCTCCAGTTAAGCTAGGAAGAGCAGAAGTATGAAACTTTTTTCAGAAAGCTTTCCACTCTTACATTTGTCATCCCTCATAACGAGGCTCCTGTCAGGCATTGCCTTGAAAAAGAGCCCATACTTGTCAGCGTTAAAAATGTCATCATCTTTGAAGCCACTGGTGAAGTCCAGAAACTTTTCAATGAATTCTTCAACAACTTCTACTGGAACTTTACCAGATTCACCACACAATACTTTCTGGGAGATTTTATGTTGCAGATTAAATTTCTCGAGCCAACCAGTTGATGCTTGGAAATCTGATACCCCAAGCTCCTTTGCAAACCTTTTAGCAATTCTCTGGATACTGGCCCAGAGATTCACGCATTAACGGCCCTCATTTGTTTGAACCAATATGTTATGCTTCACTGATTTCATCCAGCGAATTTTTTCTCCTTTTCCATTGTAAATTTCCACTTTCTTTACCATATCTTTCCAGGTACTCTTCTTTAGGTTTTTGAATATTGTTTAGTATTGTCTTGCTGACATCAAAATGTTCCACTATCTTTCTTTAGCTACTATTTTCTAGAAAACATAAAAGATCAACCTTCTCCTTCAATGTCAGCTCTTTCAGTTCTTTCCTTTTTGCCATCATGACTTAATTTGCATAAAAACCTGGTTCTTTCTCATATGACTGCTTCGTAATTGTACCTAAAATTGTACCTAAACATTGTTTGTTACACTTTAAAACTGTGTTTTTTTTCTTTCACAATGGTTACTAAATACAAATCGCATGCTGTTAATGGTGCTTTGCTTTGATGGTCGCCACAAGGTAAAACAAGTAAAATAACTCATATATGTTGTGTGTGTATTTGTTTCATTTTACCATTGGCTATTTTTTTATTGATCCTAAAAAAGGAAAAAAATTTGAAGTGGAAAAAAATTAAGTCTTTGTGCAATTTTTATTATGGAATGAATCCATAATTATTGTTAAATTGCCAAATCAGAGTCAAAATATTGTATTCTTTGATATTCTTCTTGAAATAAATTCATTGATACCAATTCTGCATTTCACCTCTTTTGCTCTTGGTGCAGAAGGGACTCAACTGGTCAAGTTTTAGGGAGTAAATTAATTCCATGGGTCAAAGTCCAGGTGGTCAAGATACAACTTAAAGAGGTGGTCAATATAGACAGGTTGGCTTTCTAGTGTGTACATATAGTATATGTCCGGTCTACGAAAATTAAATCTACTTAGGGAGGTGGTCAGGGTAGGAGGTGGTCAACAATTGAGGTTTTATTGCTTCACATTTCACTGAAATTCTAATTTATGACCATTTTGGGACATAAATGTATTAATAAAGTTTTATTCAGTTCACAGTTGTAATTAAAAACTTATTAAATCTTGAAATAATGGGCTACTGAACTCAATTGGGTACTGGATCAGAAGCATTAAAATATAAGTAATGTTTATAATCAATATGCACTGATCTTGCTGGGTCTGAGAGGGCCAAGTAAAGAGTGCAAATGTCTTGATTGGAAGGTGGCAGTACTATTGCCAACAATTTTGCATTTTATAATTCTAGAAACAACACCAACAGTCTGGAGTACTCCAGGAAAGAGGCAGAACAAAGTCTATTCCATATAGATTTCTTCATTATATAATAACTAGAAGAATACTATGTTTTACTTCTGTATGTTAATAGTTTTCAAATATAATCAAATGCAAGGAAAAAACTCAGTTCTTAAAATAATTGTTGTGATATCAATTCTTAAAATAATTCACTTTATTATATTATGTTACATGCCACAGCTGTAGTCAGAGTTATACCTTCCTTCTTTGTCTAATAACCTAATACTACCAACACTAATCAATCTAGCATTTCTAGATAACAATTAGACTATTTATTCCATCACATTCTCCCACAATTAGCTTACTTTATTCAAAACAATATCTTTTCAAGTTAATTTTAAACACTGATATAAAATTTAGATTCATAATTGAGATTAAAAATTTCTGCCTTGTGCTATACTAGTAAACGTTTTGTAATTACTGTGTCGTGGTTACATATAATTCCTTAATGAAAACAAACCATAAAAAGAATTAGCCATAGAATATTATGATTTCAATATTAAAGAAATGTAGCATTCACTCAATACTTCTGAAAGTACAGTAGAAAAATAAGAAAGAATAAGAAAGAAAAATAAGAATAAGGGAGGATTTTTTAATGTTCTACTTGTAAAACCTTTAGCCATTCAAGAAAAAAAATAGCAAAAGCTATAGAACATTACTTCCTAAACAATTTCATAAATCAGTATTCTAAGATTACATTTCTACTGAAATAATTGCCAGAAAGTAAATTTCATTGATAGGACAATGACAAATTCTTTTCAACATATAAAGGAAAAAATGTTTTATTTAAAAAAACATGTCTTTTACAAACAACCCATCTGTTAATGATAACAAGCAATCCTAATTTTATTACTTCTAAAAATAATTCTAGCATAATGATGGCACATTTTTAACATGATTTTTGAAATACTAGTTATTTAAATTGAACATGGAGCAAATGTAAGTTTTAATACTTAATATAACTATTGATCTATTTTATTTGTACGTTTTTAAGTTGAATATATTTTAGAAAATATATATAATATACACATGAAGGTTCATATGTATATTATATACAGCAGGGGTTCCCAACCAGGGATACTTGCACCCCCTGGGGGTGCGAGATGATATTCCAGGGGTGCGAAAACTTGGGTTTTCAAAATTATAGTGTATATGCATAATTCATTGCCATTATTTCAAACTTTTGTAAGGGCTGCGAGAATATATCAGAAGTGTTCTAGGGATGCGGAGTATAGAAAAGGTTAGGAACCACTGATATACAGTGAGGGAAAAAATTATTTGATCCCCTGCTGGTTTTGTACATTTGCCCACTGACAAAGAAATAATCAGTCTATAATTTTAATGGTAGGTTTATTTTAACAGTGAGAGACAGAAAAACAGTGAGACAGAAAAACAACAAAAACCCAGAAGAACGCATTTCAAAAAAGTTATAAATTGGTTTGCATTTTAATGAGTGAAATAAATATTTGATTCCCTATCAATCAGCAAGATTTCTGACTCCCAGGTGTCTTTTATACAGGTAACAAGCTGAGATTGGGAGCACTCTCTTAAAGGGAGTGTTCCTAATCCCAGCTTGTTACCTGTATAAAAGACACCTGTCCACAAAAGCAATCAATCAATCAGATTCCAAACTCTCCACCATGGCCAAGACCAAAGAGTTGTCCAAGGATGTCAGGGACAAGATTGTAGACATACACAAGGCTAGAATGGGCTACAAGACCATTGCCAAGCAGCTTGGTGAGAAGGTGACAACAGTGGTGTGATTATTCACAAATGGAAGAAACACAAAACAACTGTCAATCTCCCTTGGTCTGGGGCTCCATGCGAGATCTCACCTCGTGGAGTTTCAATGATCATGAGAACAGTGAGAAATCAGCCCAGAACTACAAGGGAGAAAGGTTTGAGACCCCTGCGATATACAATATATACAGGGAAAGTATCTTTCCATGT